AAAAAAAAAACGTTGCAACGGAAAAACAACTATAACAGCAACTGTACAGTCCCAACTGTAGAGGGTGGGTAAAGACAGCAGTGTTTGGTCCTGACAATCAGTGGGTATAACAGCGTGACTAAAGGGAATTTACATGTATAAAGAAAAGTACATTAATTCAAAACAGAAGCCAGCCAAAGAATGATCTCCAGTTCTATTATAGTGAAGATTAATCATCATTTAAATTGACATTTCAGTGAGGGAACAAGAGCTGTGATAAATGACGTGATGAAATGACAATCTTTCATGGTGTAAGTTTGGCTTCCAAGTGTTCAGATCAGTCGTTTCTAGATAGTCTTTAAAGTCAAGTTGAAGAAGATTTTGAATTATATTGTGGGTTATTGTGTAGGGAAGACTGGTGAACACTGAGCTTGGTGGGCTTTTGAATGTGGTGGGTAAAAAAACTGTACAGTAAAAAAGTGTCTACGTCTTGGCTTGTGAGAAAAATGAAATGTGAAATTATAAAGGTCTAACTGGTGACTGATGTCAACTGCAAAGAGACTGGTTGGAATATGTCTCTCTCTCTGTCTATATATATATATATATATATGTGTGTGTGTGAGAGAGACTGCGGGGGGGAAACTGTTCAGGAAGCTTTTAAGTGCTAGAAATTATTTTGATCTTTCTCAAGAATTGAACAACTCAGTTATTGAAACGATTACCTGGACAATTGCCACATGCATGCCAGGGAGAGCTTTTTACTGATGCCACTTTAGACAAAAGTAAATTTTTCAGGTGTCTATACTTTCAAATGAATGAATCTAAATGTGTGTTTGATTTTAGTTGGGTTGTAAGTAAAGCAGGCAGAGTTCCGGAAAGTTTTCTATTCTCTCCTAATTTTGCTGAAAACCTACATCTGATGTGTTTAAATGCCACTTGGTTTTATTGAAGACATTTTAAAAAACAGCTCAGCACGGAGATTCGGGTTAATTCAGTATGCTAACATGTTTACAATAGCAATGCTAACACACTGATGTTTAACAGGTTTGATGTTTACCATGTTCACCATCTAAGTTTAGCAGGTTAGAACACTTGCTAATTAGTACCAAACATAGTATAAGTGATAGTGCAGATGAGGGTGATGGGTATGTCATTAGTTTTGCAGGTATTTGGTCATAAACCAAAATATTGGATAAATTCAAGTTTATTGATGATGATGGCACTCAGGGAAAAGTCAGGGGGTTTGTACACACAATATCTAGTGTATGCTGTCTGTCCTGGAAGGAGGCTCCATCCTCTGTTGCTCCTCCTGAGGTTTCTTTCATCATTTCACCTATTTAAAGGTTTATTCGGCTCAGGTTTTCCTTATCAAATCAAGAGTCTACAGATATAGGGTGTCATATTTATATATATATATATATATATATATACAGTATATATATATACACACGTGTGATATTTGGCTATATATAAATAAAACTGTCTTGACTTGACTAACTTGTTAGGATTCATCCTCTGGGGATCATGAATACCTAGACGCTCATTGCTATCCATAGAGCCACGCCACCAGCATGACAAAAAGAAGAGAGATGGTGGTTGGAACAGGATTAGGAAAAAGGAGTGTGTTTGTGCACGTTATAGGGAGGATGATCAATATACAGTTTTTGGGGGTTTTTTGGGGGTTTTTTCTCGAAGAAACCATCAAATGAGCAGGATGAACCTGTCCATATGCATGAAATTCACAGTAAAGAGAAAAAGAAAAGAGAAATGAAAAAGAAGAACAGACATTTATCAGAATTACAGGTATGTTGCAACTGCATTACCCAATAGAAAAAGGAGAAGTACAAATGGTGAGGCAGTGAGGATCAAAAATGAGCCCTCAGACTCATGACGTCGCTTTTTAAAAATACATTTAATTGGAAAATGTATGTTCCTTATGTGCACATAATGCAAAACACCAGCATGTATCCTTTTATAAGTGTAGTGTAGAGTTTTTAGTGACTGGCAATGTTTTTTCAGGACTCTCTGCAATGAGATCTTTCCCAACGTGAAGAAGTATTACTCTGGGTCAGACTAAACTATTGTCATTGTTCCTTGTCAACCACAATATCATGACTTAAGAGTTTTCTCTGCTCTCTGCTCTGTTTTGGTTTAGATCTTAGCTGGATCAAAAAGCATCAAGACGAGCTGCGACGCTTCACTTCAGCCTCCTTCCTGGAGGAAATGTTAGCCCACCTGAGAAAGGTGAATGTGTTGAGTTCAGCTGAGGAGACCAAGATCAAGGAAGCGGGCCGGCTACAGGACCAGGTTAATATGCTCACAACTACAGTCAGTGGCAAGGACACTCAAGGCTCTGATGCCCTCCAGGGTTTCGTAGAGAGCTCAGATTCTCAGGTGGCCCAGCTCATCATAAACCACGGTAAGGGACTTGAAATGGGATTTGATCTCTGTGTTGGTAATTCATTTAAAGCATGAAGGAAAAACTGTTATCAGCAAGTAGTTTAGGCATCCAGTTGCTCAAATGGTAGAACAGATCATGCAGTAATAGCAGGGGGTGGTGGTTTGATTCTTTAATTCCTGTACAGTCACAAACTGCTCCTCATGAGCTGTTCGCTGCTGTCTTCAGTGTATGTGTGAGAGTAAATGTAACATGCTGTGAAGCACTTTGCACCAGTGCTATGTAAATGCATTTCATTTCCTGCTCCAACTTCCTGGCAAACAATAAAAAAACCTATTTCTTTCAATTACTATTTTAACTAACTAATCATTTTTCTCATCACTGACACTAACCTCAGTTAACTTTTTTAACAGATTACATGGTGAAGGAGCACAAAGAGGTGCTTTTACGTCGATATGAGCAGTGCAGAGACAGAGATTCAGTCAGCTGCCCCAAATTGAACATCTCGGCAAGAACCTTACTTCTGGTCGACGGACTTTCTGACATCCAGCAAAAGGAGCATGACCTGATGCAAGTTGGGGCGACTCAAGGAGGGAAAAGAAATCATCTCAGACAGCTGGGGCTGGCCAAGCTTTTGGAGCCCCTGACGCGGGTCAGTTTGCCTCCCAGGGTCTCTCTCACAGTTGGAGTCGCCGGTATTGGCAAGACCACCTGGGTCAGACACTTCATCAGACAGTGGAGCCAAGGGGCCATCTATTCAGATGTGAGCTTCGTCTTACCTTTTACCTTTTGTCAGCTGAACTCACTGGAGAAGCTTTCAGCTGAGAAATTGGTAAAAATGGCTTTTCCTCATTTAACAGACCCCAATCTGGTCTTGAGCAGCTCCTGTCGGACACTGCTCATACTTGATGGTTTGGATGAATTCCGCTGCACATTAAATTTTTCTGATGCAGCACCCTGCAGTGACCCGAAGAAAGAAGTGTCCATTGACGACTTAATTACTAACATCATCCGGGGGAATCTGCTGCCTGACGTAGCAGTGTGGGTGACTTCCAGGCCGGGAGTGGCCTCGCTCATCCCAGGAGGACTGGTAGACAGGGTGACTGAGATCCCAGGATTCAGCCCAAAGGACATCCAGATCTTCCTAAACCACCACTTCTCCGAGAAGGATTTCGCCAGCAAAATATGGGCACACTTGGAGTCCCATAAGATCTTAATGGTGATGTGCTACATACCATGCATTTGCTGGATAGTAGCTGATACTCTCATGTACATCATGCAGAGTGAAACACAGGAGAGCCTTCCAAGGACTTGCACTGAGCTTTACGCCCACTTCTGTTCCATGAAGGCAGAAGTAGGCGAACCAAGAGGCAGGGAGCCTGTGAAAACGGAGCAGCTTCATGGAAGCAATCGTAAACTGCTGGGGAATCTTGGACGACTGGCATTTTATGGGCTCCTCAAACACAAGTACACCTTCAGTGAGCAGGACCTCAGGGCCTATGGGATAGATCTACTGTTAACTCAAGGCAGTCTTGGTGCAGGAATTCTTGTTCGGGAGGAGTCAGCCATATACACAACCTATCGGTTCACACATCTGACTCTGCAGGAGTTTCTTGCAGCTACTTTCTACCATATCTCCTCCAAGCGAGCCATCTTTGACTTGTTCTCAGAGAGCACCATGTCCTGGCCTAAGATCGGTTTCCAGAATCACTTCAGAAGTGCCTTTCAGCATGCACAACAGGCTGAAGAAGGTCATTTGGATGTGTTTGTGCGCTTCCTGACAGGCCTGCTGTGCCCAGTGGCACTGAAACCTCTCGCTGGGCTTTTGGCCCTTGGGAAAGATGATGGAAATCAGAAGGGCTGGGCAGCAGGATTTTTACAAGGCCTCTTGGACAGCGGGGGTGCTGTGGTGTCCCTGCGTGCAGTCAACCTGGCTTATTGTTTACAAGAACTGCAACACACAGAGCTGTTGAGGAATGTAGAGGATGATTTACGGCTTGGTAGTCTGGCAGGGAAGTTAAGTCGGGCTCATTGTGTTGTGCTGGGCTACCTGCTGCATGTGTCTCCAGAGTGCAGCGAACAGACCAACCTTACAGGCTCTCTGAACTACGCCACAGTGAAATGTTTGCTCCCACAGTTGCTGTACTGCAGCCATCTCAGGTCAGGTCCCCAAAGCACTGTCTCCCAAGAAACTAAGATTCAGGAGACGGATTGAAGGGTGAAACTCACGTTGTTTTATGTTCAACAGGTTGGAGAATAATCACTTCAAAGATGATGTCATGGAATTGCTGGGAAGCCTCCTGAGCGCCAAAGACTGCCATATTCAGAAGATAAGGTGAGGTCACACTTACATTTCTCACTCCTTATTGAGGTAAAGCATCATCTGAAGAACATTTTACAGACCTCTATCAAATGAAGTTGCCTGATTGCTCACATACAGTACATGGTGAAACTTTAATTATGATTTGGTGTTCGTCTTGTTGAACACAAGGGTGTCAGAGATGCTCAGTGATTATTCTGCGGTTGTAGGATTGTCATTAATATTTTGCACCATATGATTGTAACCACTTTTATTCACCCCCTCAGTTTGGCAGAAAACGCCATCAGCAACAAAGGAGCCAAAGCACTGAGCCGAGCCCTGTTGGTGAACCGGACACTAATTTCTCTCAAGTGAGATCTTTTTGTTTCTTTTGACATATGATTCAGTACAACTGAATTAAGTGAACGAACATAACCTTTGGAGTTCATAAGAGGGAAACTGGTATGCTTCTCCCGCACTAAGCTTAAGTTGGGTGCCTAAAGAAAAAAAAACTACAATGTCAAAGTTTCCCAAAAGCAGATCATGCTATACTATAGTATAAACCACTGCATGCTTAAAGCTACACAAGACATGTTTGCTTGTTGGCAGCGTATATATGACAGATACAGACAGGTGACAAATTAAAGGAAAAACCTGAAAAATGAGTGAAGAAACAGGATGACAGTGCCTCCATCCATCGGGCACGAGGCGTCACTGAATGATTTGATGAGTATGAAAATGATATGGCCCAACACCTTACTAAGACATACTTCCTTTCATTTTTCACGTGTGTGTGTATGTTCTGGTGAACAGCTGTTAAATATACTATTAATGGTAATATAATATTTGATAAACATTTTGTTGAATACTTCCTAGTCTGTGTAGTTTTATATTATAGCACACCAAAATTACAAGGGAGGCAAAAGTTCCAAAATTGCACCTTCTTGCAGCTATTTTGGAGAAACATAATTCACTCGCAGATTTCGACTTACTTATTACTTTGAGGTGAAGTGGTGTTCTGTAGATATTGGTCCCTGAAGTTCACTTGTGCATTTTTTTTAGATGACAATTTTGTCTTATATACTGCAGCTTTTAGAAGTAAAAGTCACAGTTTGTGCTTATCTCCTAGTCCCTGAATTGCTGTAGTTCTTATGGTCTATGTCTTCATATTTCACAGGCATATAAATTGTTATATAGTGTTTAAATTACTACTGTACATTGCTTTACATCATCTAACCATCTATTTATAATTTAGTCTCCGGAACAACAATATCGGCTCCAAAGGTGCAAAGTTCCTGGCAGAAGCTCTGAAAATGAACCAAGTCCTGGTATCGATCAAGTGAGTGTAATTGCTATAGATTTTGGTTTATGCACACAGTGATCCTACAAAATGCCAGGATAACATTTGATGTTCTTAACCCCAGCTTCCAGAACAATGCCATTGAGGAGGAAGGAGCTCAGGCCCTTGCAGAAGTATTGCAGTGCAACCGCAAATTGGTGTCGCTGAAGTGAGTATTGTCTGTGCTTCACTTGTGTTGGTTGCATGTCCTGTTTATATTATATTACGAAGAATCAGTGAATTTCTCTTTCATGCATGTATTGATTCAGTGTACGGAAGAATACAATTGGAGCAGGTGGAGCCAAGAGGATTGCGAATGCACTGAAGACAAACCGGACTCTCACAAAGCTGATGTAATCTTATTTTCATATATGCACTTACTCTACTGGTCTCAACTATATCATACTGTACCTGCTATTGAGCTGTTATAATTATGCAAACATATTATACATTCAGTTCAGTGGATTAAAGACTTCAAGCTGTTTGTATTTTTCTATATTCTTGACATTTCGTCGTAGATGTTTAGGAGTAAAGTAGCTCACTAATAGACTAACGTTTTGCTCGTTTACCACTGAACCTGTTTTGGGTTACATATTATCCCTCGCGATGAATGAAATTCTTAATCTGCTCAGTCTGTTTTTGTTCTCATCTCCAGCCTTTGTAGCAACCAGCTTGGGGACAAAGGAACAGTGGCCCTGGCAGAGGCTTTGACACTCAACCACACTCTGCTCTCGCTTCAGTCAGTACCTTCTACACAAGAATGCATTGTAGCCTCCACATCACCCATCACCTTCTATTCAGAAGTCTAATCCATTTTCACATTGAGTTATTATACTTTGGTTCATATTTATATACTGTCTTACTTTTTGCAGACTTCAGAGTAACTCGATCAGCAACAGGGGGATGACTGCCTTAACCAAAGCACTCAGGCTGAACCGTGGCCTTGTCTCCTTAAAGTGAGTGTTAAAGTTGAAGCTTCTCGCTGTTTGACTGGATAGCTTTCCTGCGAGACTAATATCTGTAATCACACTTAGTGGCGTAAAATCGATACTACTCCTCTATCTGCCCAGTAAATGTAGAGAGCCATAAGTCCTGATGTGAAGTCCAGGACGGCCTTTGCTCCACAGTGCGAGCTCTCCTTCAGCATTTCATTCCTGCCTGTCTTTATTTTATAGTTGTAATTATAGATGACATGAGTTGCTGGTTGAGGGATTAGAGAGAGCCAAGCTACTTGGTGCCTCCTTTCCCCAGTCTTTATGCAATGCTAAGCTAAGCTGTAGCTTCTTAATTACTATACAACATGAGAGTGTATTGATCTCTTCTCTTTAAAAAAAGAATATAATATATCCCAAAATGTCAAACTATTCCTTTAGAAAAATAGCCATTAATACGATATTGGGACTAAATAAATACTGTATGTTAATTAATACTAGTCAATACGATACGACACTGACAGTGAGAGTTCCTTGGCATGGAGATTGTTGGGAATACTGTGACTTCTTAACCCTTCCGTTCCTTTTCCATGTATTTCCTCTGTGTGGTTAGTTTAAGGGAGAACTCCATCGGGGTGGAGGGAGCAAAGAACATGGCCCATGCCCTCCATGAGAACAACTCTCTACAGGACCTGGAGTAAGTCGCCTCATTAATAGCAGTACATCGTGTAATGCTCCACAGAGGCATGGTAATATCCGACTGTTCAGTAAATGTCGCTCCCCCAGACTATGTTGTGTCACTCAGGGCTATTGCATGATGGAAAACTCAAGACATTTGGTGACATTGTCCACTTAACAGTCATGGTATTAATCTATTCCAGTTTTTATGATCATTTGTGTAATCACCTTTTCCCAATTAAAGTGAGAGGGATTTTCAAACTTGAAAGCCACATGTTTTACACATAACGTGAACGAGAATGAAGTATTTCACACTCTTCTGTAATACCTAACCTTGTGCTTGTGTTTTTCACAGTATTCTGTCTCTTTTTCACTCTGTAGTTAATGTGTGTGTTTGTGTGTGTGTGTGTGTGTGTGTGTGTGTGCATTCCAGTCTCACAGCCAACCTCTTGCATGATGATGGTGTTCAGGCTATAGCTGGCGCAATCAAGTTTAATCAAGGCCTCACCTCTCTGCAGTAAGTGAGGCTTGTAATGGAAATTCAAGCATGCACAGAGATACATATATTGTCCTGTGAGTAAATCTGGCGTCACTTGTATTGAAAAGGTTCCTTCCATGCCACAATAATGGTGCCAAAATAAAATGAACAGGTTTGATCCACTCCACTAGCATCAGGATCATCTTGATACTAGCTGCTTTTAAATGTAAATAAGTTTTATGTGATCATATTTCTACCAGATGTTTGTAACCATTTGTAAAAAAAAAAAAAAAAAAAAACACACATGAAACACATACAAGAAGATATAACTGTTTACCAAATTAAAATTGTTCACAGTAATTTCATTTCAGAAGCAGGAGAAATTGGAGATACTCAAGTAAAGTAGAAGTACCTTAAAACAGACTGGACTAAAAATACTTAGTTACTTCCCACCCCTGCAGACAGACTCGTATATGCAGTATTTTCTTTATGTGTAAACCTTATGTCCCTTTCTCTCTTTTCCCAGTCTCCAGTGGAACTTCATCAAGTCCTCCGCCACTAAAGCTCTGGCCCATGCTCTGCTCTCCAACAGCACAATGCAGCTCTTGGAGTAAGCCTTCTGCCATTGTCACCCTCATTATCCCATTATCAGTCCTTTCACTCACCACTAAACAGTTATGTGAAATTTCCGTGACAGGGTTGTATTGTTATTGACAGCTGACACTGTGTCTGTGTGTGTTGCAGTCTACAGGAGAACGCTATTGGGAATGAAGGCGTCATTTTTCTAGCAGAAGCCCTGAAAACCAACGCGTCTCTTCGTACATTGTGGTTGGTATTACAACTGTGTGCAGTGACTGATGGATATTTAAAATAAATGATCACACAAGTAATTTTTTATGCACATACGTATAATATACATTCACATTAAAATGGTAATTTACCAAAATCTTTCTACATGTGTGTTTTCTGTTATTTTCCCATGTGTTCACTGTGTTGTGTGCTGTCTCTTTAGTCTCCAGGGGGTCTCAGCAGGCACAAAAGGCGCCATTGCCATGGCAGAGGCTCTATTGACCAACCAAACCCTGCAAACATTAGAGTGAGTCCAAGCTGTCTCTCATGCTTCAAACTGTTCTTTTGTGATTTGACATTCAGTCACATACAATAAGCAAACAGTTTAAAACCAGCAGAGTTCAGTCCTGCTGTTGGAGTTTTGCTCTTTTCTACATCATCAGTCGCTGCTGATCGTATCCCAGGTGTAACCAACCATGATCTGGCTCGAAAGAGATCAAGCTGGACTGTTAGATCAATGAGAATATACTTTCATTTTATTACTCAGCCTGCTTTAAAGATATGATAGCTTTTCATTGGTCTCTGTTTAAATGTGTCTTTGTTTGTCTGAAAATGCCAGCACATAATTTAACTGCTGTGATTGCAGCTCCACAGTCACTTTCTTGAGACAGACATCATTTCACCATCATTTCATGCATGTGATCAGCAGGTCTTTCCTTCACTGAGACATAAACACAAACTCTTCCAACACCTGTCTGAATGAATGCATCACTCGCTGGGCTGTTATTTACAAAGTTCAAAACAGAAAAACAAGTCTGTCTGGTTATATCGCACTTATGGTTAGACAGTATGACAATACATATTTGAGTCAATGTGAATTCCTGGTCATATTGAGTTTTATATGATTTTTAAATCGGTGTGAGCAGGTATTTAATTTGCTGGATTAACTGCTTATTGTTTCCATAAACAGTTTGATAAACTGATTTTGTATTATATTATTATAGGAAAATCACATTATGAAATGACATATAACGTGTTATTTTATTATACCAGCATTTTTTCAATCTTTCTGGAATTTAACTGAAATAAAGATTTATTTTGGTTTTATATCTCCACTTAAAGTTGGTAAAGTTGGGTCGGACTTCAGCTGTTTGTGAACCTCTCCAATTTTTCCAGTATGCCACAAGCACAGGGAAGCTCACTGTGAAGCTGCGAACTTCCCAGTCCTTTCACCCTGTGTCTAAACAACACTAATGAGAAGTGACATTACAGCAAGAGAAGGCCTTAATCTTAAATTCCCTAATCTCTGTGACTGCTGCATTTTTTTTGCTATTGCTATTGCTATTGTTGCTAGTGTTAAAACACACTCTGCCATTAATATACAAAAACTATTGTTGTGTTTCCTACTTAATGTTTGCACATTTTTCCATTTTTGTGTTTCAGTCTACGTGGGAACACCGTGGGGATGGAGGGAGCGAAAGCTCTGGCTAATGCACTGAAAAGCAACAGAAGCCTCAAGTCATTGAAGTAAGAGCTTGTTATGATCCATGTGAACCAAAAGTGCACTTTTGTCTTTGTCACTTTGCATAATTTCGAAAGCATAAAAACAATTCATCACCAGTGACATTTGCTCTAATTCACCTGCTCTGGAGAGAATGTGTTTCAATTGCATTATTTGTTTTTTTCACATCTGCGTTTTGAAAAGTAAATTTTCTGAAATTCAAAACGAATTCATACATTGAATTTGTAACACACAACTGACACTGAATGCAACGGTGGACTTTTATCCACCTCTTCTGTTATGTGAGAATAAATTTTCCCCAGTTTAAATGTATTTGTCTTAAATACGGTCCAGCTTCTCAGATACAACATATCTCACTGATCATCAGGTAGTAGCTCCCTCCAAGGCTGCTGCTGCTGGGAGTGGACTAACTCTCTTTGTTGACTGGCAGTGACTGTTCACTTGGACAAACACTCAGCCAAATCCATCATTTTGTGTTTGAAAATGAGACTTTTATACTTACATCACTGGACATTTGACTAAAGCAATACATTGTTTGTGTCTGTGTGTTTTATTAGTCTGCAGGAGAACTCTCTGGGTATGGATGGAGCCATATTCATTGCAACAGCCTTGAAGGGAAACCATCAACTGACATACATCAAGTGGGTTTTCTTTTGTGCTCCCATATATCCTATTATGCATCTGTATGCCTCATTGTATGTGATTTGTTATGTGTTGTGTGTGTTTACACCACAGAGAGCAGGATTTTAAGGACGACAACATGCTGCCGTTCTGCTCATATTAAAAACTGACTCCTGTTTTCGTGTTTGTGCAGTTTGCAGGGAAACGGCATCGGCGAATCTGGAGCAAAGGTCATATCTGATGCCATAAGAGCCAACGCCCCGGGCTGTGTGGTGGATATCTGACCAAGAAAAGAGCAGCTTTTATGGAAAAAGGTCATACAGCACATGTAGCTAAGAAATAACAGTAGGCTATGTTATCAGAAGTAGATGTAAAATATGTAAATTTGGTTATTTTTGGTATTTTAACATTGACATTTTTATATTTATTATGACAATTAAGAGTTACTTTGTCTTGAAGAGGCAATTGCCACAACTGATAGAAAAAAGACTTGACGTGCATGAAGATATTTAGAGTTGCAACATATTATGTAAAATACACTCAGCATCCTAAGATAGAATGAAGCTACTTCCTTCCTTATTTGTCATAGTTAAGATGTTATTCTGTACATTTGCTCTATTTGCACAAGTGAATAAATAAAATGGACCTTGCCATTCACATAGCAGTTTCATCCCACCTGTTGTTTTTACAAAGACAAAGATCTATAAAGACATGAGTCTACGGCCCCGTCAGCCTGCTGTGCTGACATTAATAAGAGTCATAGTGCAACTGTCATGAACACATCGTTTCATGAGGACTGGGCTGGATCCAGATCCAGGCATTTAACCTCTGGTGGAGTCGCTAACGCCCTGAGAGTTGAGAAGTGGCTGATAAGTGGTGACATAGACCACCTTGACATAGATGGCTTCCTTCACTCCTTTCAAACCATCGGTCTTCTGTCACCAAATGAGTGTCCCCTGTCCTTCAGATGATTGCTGAGTCCTGACCTGAGGAGTGGGCTCACCTGTGTTGTGCCTTTTATGTGTGAAGCAGTTGTTTTGTTCTCTCCACGCTTCTTGTTCTGTGGGAGTTTTTGTCCTCAGAGTGTAGAAGATTGTTTCTGGGCTTGAAGTGCTCAGGGCTGCTTGATGTTTGTTAAAGATGCTCCTGAGTTTTTCACACACGCTCTGTTTGTTCTGTATCTTTTTTTGCAGTTTTGAAAACAATAGAACAAAGATACAGAAAAGACAGAGAAGAAAACAGCAATTAACAAAACAAACAATGTTGTCATTCCTCACGTTGCAACGGTATAAGAAAAACTCGGGAGGATTTACAGCAAACGTCACATCTCTGTGCACTTCAAGCCCAGTTACATTCTGCGTTCACAATACAATGTTAATATGCTGATGTTAGGAGGTGCAGTGTTCACCATCTTAGTTTAGCATATTACATGCTAATATATGCTAGTGGGAAAGTTATTGGTTTTACAGGTATTTGGTCATAAGCCGAAGTATTAGACAAATTACATTTGTGACGTGATGATGGTAATAGACAAAAAGAATTTTGATCAACAAAGTCATGGCAAAAAATATAAAATGTCATCCTGTCATTTAATTATGTGGCGAAGATGAAAACAGCACTCTGAAGAGGGAGATGTTGCAAGGTGTCCAGTGTTTTGTTCTGTCTCTGCCCAGTGAAGTGGAGAATTAATAACCTTCTGTTGCTCAGTGTCATGATCTGCCCCTCTGTGTCTTGCTGTCTGGTTTATTTCAAGTGTGTGTGTGTGTCTTTGAGTCCTCCCTGCCTGAGACACTCAAGACAACGCTTTCCTTGTCAGTGCTTCATCACAGCTGCAGCACACTGGAGGTGATGGATGATAACTTGTACCCTTTTTACAGCACAATTAGCACATATGTTGTTTTTTTTTTTTTTTTTAAATGTGGGTTAATCTGCTAAAAAATAAATAAATAAATAAGCCAATTGACTCTTTTCACACTTATAGAAGAGTTTGCCTTTATGTTCAAGAGGACATATCACAAAACCCTTTCTGTGGCATTCCTGCAGTCTACAAACCCAATTCACCACCACTTTATGCGGATATTATACAAGCTGCCGGCTACAGACACAAGCAGACAGCATTCATAGCCAAGCTGTCGGTGTAATGTGAGTGCAGTTACGAGCTTGGTACTTTTAATTCGTTCTATGGAACATTTCATTAGACTGACTATCACTTTCAAAACACCCTTTTCAAGCATGGAGCCATAGTTTCTCCACTGCGCATACTGTTCAATATTCCATTCAACCCCAAAGACGACGCCCCCTGTAGAGCTAAACTGGTGTGGTGTGTATGGCATCACATGAATCAGCCCTGGGGAGCGCTACATTAGTGAAATGAGTGAATGAACTCCAGTAATAGACAACATTAAACAACATTAGCAACCAAAATCGGTCACAGCATTGAATGGGAAAGGGTCAAAGGTCGTCAAATAGGTGGCAGTGAACAGCTGGAGAAAATCCCACACCAAATTTGTTTTTGTAAAATGTTGTCAGTGTAGCTCTCGCTGTTGTTGACTGGTGTACGGTAGCACATCAGACTATATCCCTTTAAACCCTTTTGGCATCGCCACTGAAGGAAGATAAGCAAATTATGTCTCTATGTAGTTGCTTGATTTTCTTTGGTAGTCCACTTTACTCACCTTCCTGTTTCAGAAGTACCTTGTGTTACCTTATGCAGAAACACAGCTCCCTCATCAATATTCAACATGTTGTAGAAATGGGATAGCCAGATGCTTCTCTGTCAAAAGAAATTTTAAAAAATTCAATCTATGCATGTTTGGCTTTGTGCTTTCCTCTTGGCTTAGTAACATGTGACATATTAGTTCCCCTGGCTGCATTGCTTGTGGACAGATCATGCAAACTGTGGATCTGTGTCCACAAATTACATCTGCACACACACACACACACACACACACACAAACACGCACCATCTGCCCTTGAACGGCCTCTTTAGTTTAAACTGGGATTCAGAATTGAGTTCTTCGTTTCCATTCTATTCATTGACCGACCTACAGCAGACAGAGGTGTTCATATACAAAGAGATGGTCTCAGACACATGTCCATCCATTCGTGGAAGTGGAAATCAGGTTTATGCATGTGCCCACATTTTCACATTGGCTGAAATGTATGTACGAGCTCTGCTCTATAAATCTGAGTGTGTATAAATCTTGTGTGAATGTTTCAGTCTTTGTTCATCAACCCCAGGAGAAACATTTTGCTCCCAGCAGTAAACAGTTGGAAGATTTTTCCATCTTCCAAACTGAAGTTTAGTTTGTTTAGTTTAGTTGCATTTTTCATTTTGCATGATCACTCCTTTCTCACTGAATTTCATTTGCATATCTATGACTGGATGCACACAATACCTTCAGATTGTATTCAAGAGCACTGACGTTTCAGTACATGGAGTTACAGCCCGATTCTCGATGAGAGGCTTTTGTCAACTCACTCCACAAAATATCCAACAGATACAAAGATTAAAAGAAAAAAGTGGACTTAGTCATTTTTTTATTGTTCATTTTAAAAGGCACCTGAGAGGCAATTCGTCATGTGCGGTCATAAGCATTGTGACAGTACTGAGGCTGACGTAATAGTGAGTTCACCATCCTATTCCTTGTATTGACTGCGAATTACAATACTTAACTAAAACCTTAATTAATTAAGCAATATTTTATATTAAAGTTATAATTGGTAATATTGCCTCTGTCTTTGACACATTGTTTCTTCGTTCCCCCTCAACAAAGAAGATTTTATGAGCGGCAGATCTGAAAGGAAATGGATGACTATCAGAAGTCTGCCCTTATACAAAGGAGTCACTATCCAACAAAAGAAAAAGAACATTAAACTCCTCAGCTGCTTTGTAATTCCAACCACAAGGAAGCTCACATATTTAACATCTTAAGCTTAATGGCAGCAACAAGCTGGGTGCTGCTCTTAAACAGCAGGGCCTGAAGACTTTTAATGACACACAGAGCAAAGCCAAACACACATGCACAAAAACCATGCATACACCATCTTCCACACATTGAGTTTGTAGTTGCCATTCTATTCATTGACCGACCTACAGCAGACAGAGGTGTTCATATACAAAGAGATGGTCTCAGACACATGTCCATCCATTCATGGCTGTGGGAGTGGAGATCAAGTTTATGCATGTGCCCACATTTTCACATTAAAACAGGAGGGAAGGAGGGGCACTGTCATTACTTCCAGTTATGTGTGTGGTGCATGAGGTAAAGCCATCGTCAGAGAAAATTGTTTTTTTGCATTTAAATATTAGGATAAATGTTCATTTTCTTTCATTTGTGGAATTTGGGGCTTTCAAGAGGCAGACGTCAACTCACACTGCTTGTTCTTATCTGCTTGTCTTACAGTTTACACCAGATGCCCGTCCTGACGGAGCCTGGGTTTGGGGCGGCCGGGGCTCAAGCTACCGACCCATGCATCAGCAGCCAACCTGCTCTACCACCTTGAAATACATGTTTCCCAAGGAAAACAATTCTTTGGCTTCAAACAGCAGTTAAAGTGGACTTACACCGAAAACATAACGATTCCTTTTTTTTACAGGTAACAAAGTTTCAAAGTTTCTCAAGCTTTTAAAGTTTCTTTATTTATAATCAATATTTGATTTTGTAAGAAATTGAGCTACCAGAATTTCAGACTGTGATGCACTGGCAATGTATATATATATATATATGAAGGTTTATCTAAATATGGCACTACCCCCTGTGGACTTTGTTTTAAAAAGCTTGAATGTTGCTTCACAGTGGGTGGCATCTACATTCACCTTGTTTTCTCAGTGATTACACTGGATTTTAATGGTGACCCACTTTGACGGCAAAAACAAACTTCTTAAAACAGGAACAGAAACTTCTCGTGCCACTCCTGCAGCATAATCAACTTCTCTGCTGTGCAGATGTATGCTCCCTCATGCATGAGCTTCTCAGACCGGAAAGAAAGCATGCTGTACACAAAAAGGTGTGTCCTGTTCCTGCTTTCCTATTGGTCAGAACAACTCTGCGATGAACCAACTCTCGATTTCATTTATAAAAATTACTTAAGATGGAATGAATTTAAAACGTTCCAAAGAGGGGAACTGCAGACTTGGGGAATAATTCAGAGTGGGTTTGTCACTACAAGGGACACCTTTCCCACACACACAGTCATTTGTTAATAAAAAAAATACTGGATACATTCAAAATTCATCAGTGTCATTCTTAGTAAAACTGAATTGTTTTTGTTGCATAGATGCAATATTGGAAGCCGAAACCAAAGTCAGAGTTGATTCAGCTGTTTTAGATCTGTGCTACCATTTTAATGTTTTCTTGTGATATTTTATTCTCTTCAATTCTTTAGATTTTCTTTGAGCCAGTCATCTTATATATTTCATGTAATTCATGCTGCCATTTTTAAATGCATGGCTTATGTAAAGTGTTTTGAATCACCCATATAGTTGTCTTGCCCTAGAAATGCACCAGGGTTTGTAATAACATTGAAATTGAATAGTCAGTTTTAAAACATAATTTATTCCCCTGTCATTCAGTCGAAGGTTGCTTTCAGGAGGCCCATGTGGGAGTCGTGCCTGAACATTTTTAGGCTTGATAGTTCTGGAGGGAGAGTGACAA